AAGACGCAACAAACCCACACACCTCAAATAACAAAAAAACAGATAAAACTCAACACAGATACAAACAATTACAACAAACGAAACATCCTAAAATATTTGAAAACACAACGGAACACAAATAACAACAGACACAACAACCTCGTACCCAGGGTCTTTTAGCACAGAGAAAAGACCCTGGGTACGAGGTTGCAGACACAAAAGCAAAAATAAACTACATAAAAAACTCAAATATAACTCCCAACACAATACTATTGTCAACCTCTCTAACAAACCCATCTCACATGAAGCACAAAAAACCCTGTCGAAAGGTCTTACCTTTGTCCCGACACCCAAACACACACCATACAAGACCATATATGACTCTTTTCTGAAATATAAAAAAGCATGTACAATAAATATTTCTTCAGAAACAGAAAGGACACTAAAAACATCCATTTAAACTACCCAGTAACTTCACAGCACCAAACCCCGACAACAGCAACCTGTTAGAATACATATCAAATGTACTCTACGATCTCAAAACTGAATTTGGAACACAAAAACAAACTACAAAAACCAACATATCCTCACAAAGCCTCAAAACCATCCATGATCTGAAAAAGGATCAGATGATATACGAAAATGTTGTATAGAATCCTATAGAATATGCTATAACATATTCTAAATCCCATAGAATATTCTATAGGACTTCTTATCCTATAGCATATTCCATTGCCATATTCTATAGAATTTAGAGATGCTATAGAATATTCTATTGCACATTCACATTAAACATCGAATAATATATTCTATAGAACATGCTGTACACAATATTGAATATTCTATAGAATTTAGAGATGCTATAGAATATTCTATTGCACATTCACATTAAATATCCAATAATATATTCTATAGAACATGCTGTACACAATATTCTATAGAATATATGTTATACAGAATGAGACCTTTATGCAATTTGAAATATAACATTTTTAGTACACTATTCATTGGTCGAGAATTATATTCGCATTTTTTGTAAGGTTCTCTCAACATACTTTTAAAGTCTTAAAGTTAAAATTCTCAGCAGAAATCATTCGTTTTGTAAAGACAAATCACAAATATTTCACACATAAGACATATCTCATATCTGTTTCATAATATGCCCGTTCGAAGGTTAGATGGCGGGCGTTTTGCCCAAACAAGGCCGCAAGGTTATGTGGGACTTGTTTAACCGCCACGCATTATTTTCAAATTTTGAGCGCGTCTTTGTATGTAGTTTGTCATCCGTTGATTCAACGTTTTATAACTGATACTGGTAGAATTTAGTGCGTTTTTCTTTCGTATTTTAACATAAATACGCATTTTTGAATTTGTCAAAGAGGAGTCATAGAGGGTGGTGAAACGCGCTGTATATGCGAGAAGAATCAGAAAGATATGGATAATTTTGTGAATGCCTGAAAGGTGACTAGGATCGTGAGAAAGAAAGGCCATGGCAATGAGAAATTTCTAAAGTTAAGAAAATAATCAAAAGTTCATTGACCCATCTACAACAACATGTGTAGCTAAAGTATTGGAATTCAGTGGTGAGTGTGTTTGTATATATATAAATGCTATATGTTTGTATAGGCAACATATGTTCTCTATATACCATTATAATTAATCTCATAAATTTTTATTCACCTTTCGATTAAACTTTCTATTTGAACACTTTATTTACACCTTTTATTTATACCACTATAAATAGAGCCATTCCAACTAAAAATTATTTCTGTCAAGACATTTGCACTAGCTCTAGATAAATTTTATATCATTAAAATTGAATTAAATATAAGCTAGGTCTCAAGTGTTTAATTGTGTTTTACTGTTAAAATTTACAGATTTCCTTTTGTCCAAGCATCACACTAACCAAAGGTCAAAATGGAGCTCTATTAAAGCAATATTAAATGTGAAAGGTTTTGTTTATGCAGTGCCGTGGATGCAAGAACAACTTTGCTCTCATTCCATCACTGGAAAGGCTTCAAATGCCTAGCTTAATTCAAAGAAAAGGATGCAAAACCAGAGCCAGAGAAAGTTAAGAGTATATATGGTAAGCAGTATAATTGTTAGTAATTATGTCTGGTCTAAGTTAATATATCTTATACATATCTTGGTTCAGTTATTGTGAGTTTTACCTTTTCTAGCTGTATCTAAAGTATGGTGCAAAAAGGTTTGAGGGAAAAGAGGCTGACATATGACAAGTTATGGCACCAAAGATTAATAATATTGTGCGAGTTGGGAAAACCAAGTTGAAAGCATCTGGACATCAGTAACTATATGACATTCCATTCTCTACTATTTACATGTTCTGTACATGTAAATATATTTAGTATAATAGCCTAGTTATATTTTTGCTATTTTCTTGCACAGTCATTTTATTTGGTGGGAAAACTGCAGTATGGTAATAATTTTATCTAGAAAATATTGAATAAATTTATACATTCATAAAAAACCAAGCTAAAATATTTCAATTTGAGTGACACCATATTGTTTTCAATTACTTAATGCATAATATTTCAATTGAATCCTCCTCAAAATGTGTGAAATGTATATCATTTTCACTTAACTACCATTTAAGCTAAACAGCCTTCAAACAACCGGCTGCAGTTGTTTTATCCATGAAACAAAATGATTATTTGACAGACTTAATTACTAGAACTAGAGTTCTAGATGCAGATTAAAGTTATATGGACACTTATAGGACTTGTTTTTTATTCTTTGTTGTATAATATATGTATTTCAATTTCTTTAATCTCTAGATTTATTTATATGTAGTTTAAGCAAGGCATTTTCATTAAATCTTTGCATCAATTGAACTTTAAGTAAATAAATTTGTTACATATATTTGGGAATATTTTATTTGTTTGTATGTCTCACTCTTGGCAAAAAGAAGTTTTGATTACATTGTTATAAAGTAATATATTTCAAAGTCGAAACATGGACGAATGTTGAATACACCATTTATCATCCAATAGCATATTTAATAGATTATCCTATAAAATATACTATAGAATACATATTCTATGGAACATTTTATCGCATATTCAATAGGATCATTAATGGAATATTCCATAGATTGAAAATATTTTATGGAACATTTCATAGAATATGTGTTAGAATGTTCCATAGAATATCATAGAATATGTGTTAGAATGTTCCATAGAATACCAGTATTCTATAGAACATTCTAATGAATGTTCTGATGGATATTCTATTGAATATTCTATAAAACATGGCATATGTTATAGAATATTCTATTAAAGGTGCCATAGAACATGTTGTAAAACGTTCCATAGAATAGGTTCCAAAATCCCTTAGAATATTCTATAGGATATTCAGTAGAGAATTTTAATGGAATATTCTATAGAACATTTTTGTATGGACACAGTCTTTTTGGGGATACAGCTGTTTACGCCTTAGACACACGCTAGTTTCCATGCCTCATGTTCTAGTCGACAAAATGCGTTTACGAGTCGACATAGTCTATTTACGGATCGTAAACTAAGAGTCTATTCAATACCAATGGTGCGAATGGTTGCTTACTTCTAACGAATAGAAATGCCTAAACCACTTTACCATCCGTATAAAAAAAATTACGAAACGAACGACCCGTATGCTTGCAACAGTATTGGACAACCATCGGAATCTTCGTGCCATTTTTTTCTTTGCAAGAGGCAGGGCAAATATTCTTTAATCCAGCGCTTCCAAAAGTGCAAAGCGACAACCTGCGCTTGTCTCCAGCGTTTACGACTCGAGATTTCCTTATTTTGAAACACCCCAGGTGGTAAGTTAACACTGGCTCTTCCCAGAAGGAAGTGGTTAGGAGTGATGGCTTGCCATCCATTCACGTCTGAGCTTACTTCAGTAAGAGGACGACTATTCACAAGGAACTCCACTTCAGCCAGAACTGTTGTTAGCACTTCGTCTGTCACCACTTGATTCTTCAACACGACGTTCAGCGCTCTCTTACATGAACGTACCAATCTCTCCCAAACTCCCCCTATGTGGGGAGCTGCTGGGGGGTTAAACAGCCATTGAATGCCTTTCTGAGTAGGGACTTTCGAGATTTGATCCTGATTCCATCTTCCTATGCACTCCCGGAGCTCCCGATCGGCCCCAACAAAGTTTGTCCCGTTGTCTAGGCGAATCATCTTTGGGTTACCTCTACGAGCTATGATTCGTCGTAAGCACATAATGAAGGAATCCGTTTCGAGTGAAAACGCGACTTCCAAATTAATCGCTCGTGTGACCAAGCACGTGAAAAGGCATCCGTAACTCTCCATTCTTTTCCTCAGGTAAACAACTTCTAGCGGTCCAAAGTAGTCCACACCGACGTTAGTAAACGGGGGGGCGACCAACAAACGATCTCGAGGCAGAGCTGCCATCTTCGGTTGACTTGGTTGAGCACGACGTTTCTAACACAATGAACACTGGTAGAGGAATTTCCTAACTGTGCCTTTACATCGAAGAATCCAAAACCTCTGTCTAAGTTCATTTCTGACGTTATCTACTCCTGCATGACCGAGCCTTTCATGACAGTCCATCACGATCAATCGAGTTAGCTCACTGTCGGATGCTAAGATAATGGGATGGCGAGCGGTGAACGGGATTTTAGCTTTATCAGCACGGATTAGTCCGTCTTCATCGATAAACGGCGCTAACGAAACGAGCTTGCTTTTACTTGAAATGGATCCTTTTTTTTTCTAAGGCCGCAACTTCGGCAGGGGATGACTGCCCTCGCGATTGTTGAATTAATGCGGTTTTCGCTTGCTCGATTTCCAGAACTGTGAGAGGTCCAATCGATCTTGTGGTCTTCACCATTCTACAGTTGCGGACGAACCGTAGCATATATGCCACAACTGAAACTGCACAGAAATAGTTAGAATACTTGGCCAGATTCAAAATTTCCGTATTCTTTTCCGTTGAAACTTTGCTTGACCATTGGACGTCCAATACGTTCTCATCCTTGGGTAACTCACTTTCATTCAATACTGATTTGGTCCTTTTATCCTCCGGCCATGCTTGTTCTTCTTCTCGTAGATAATCTGGACCAGTGAGCCATCGGCTCTCACACTTGCTAATCTCGTGCAGAGAACTGCTGCTTGTAATTCTAGCTTAGGGATACTCAATTGCTTCTTTGGAGCTACCCGGGTCTTCGCTATAACAAAGGACACACTTGCCGATCCATCACCATACGTGAAGCGGAGGTATACCACGGAGCAGAAGGCAAGTTCGCTTGCGTCTCCAAAAACATGTAGTTGAATTGTGATCGGCTTATCATCGATTTGACGGTAAAATCTGGAAACAGAGAAGTCAGCAAGCATACTAAGTTCACGTTCCCAGTCTTTCCAATTTGTAGTTATGCCTTGAGGCAAACAATCATCCCAGCCAATGCCAAACTGCCAGATTCGTTGCAGGATTATCTTTGCCCTTACTAGAAAGGGTGCAAGAAATCCAAGGGGGTCGAATAACGAGGCAATGAGACTCAGAACTTGACGTCGAGTGATTGCCGGGTTTCCTCTTTTCACTTTGAACACGAAACGATCTCGCTGCGTGTCCCAACCAACACCAAGCGCACGTTCGGTGGGCATAGCTGTATACTCATTGATTGCTTTAACTGAGGCGGCTCTTTCAGGCTCGGGAATGCTCACATCACGGTCATTGTAAATCCATTTCGTCAAACGAAATTCCCCTCTCTTGCACAGATCAACCAATTCATTGAAGATTTTTACAGCTCTCGCCACGGTTTCCATCGACTTAAAGAAATCACCATATAGAAGGTTCGTTCGATGGCTGCAGCAGTCTCTGGATACAACTGACTATTGTCCTTGGCATTCCGAAGAAGAGCGTAGTTGGAACAGGTCGGTGAGCACTTGGCGTGATCATCCTCTGGAACAGCTACTTGATTGAACATAGCTTCAATGTCTGCCGACAGGGCAATTTTCTCCTCCCGAAATCGCATGAAAACACCGATAAGAGAGTTCAGTAAATCAGGTCCTGCAATCAGATGATCATTCAGGGAGGAACCATTGAGCTTTGACGCAGCATCGCAAACCCGCCGTACCTTTCCTGGTTTATTGGGGTTGAGAACTGGGTGATGCGGTAGATACCACTGTTTACTCACACGCGCCGCAGCTTCTTCTTCCGACAACTGTCTGATATATCCATTGCTCATATCACTCTCAATCGTTTTCTTGTAGGCTTCAGCCAAATCTGGGTCTCTTTGAAGACGTTTGTCTAGTAGCTTTAGCCGCTGCTCTGCAACATGCCGATTTTCTTGCATGGTAGAGTGCTTATCCTTCCAAAGGAGTCCCACCTCGTATCTTCCGCCAACTATTTTCGTCGTCTCCTCCAAGAAGCGCATAGCTTGTTCATCTTCAATCGAACGTTGGGTATCTATGTCGTATTTGCAACCAAACTCTTCCGTGCGCCACCAAAACTTCACTTTGTTATGGAGTTCCTCATCTGGTGGTGGGACATGTATGGAAAGGATGGTTTCAGAATCTCGAACATGTTCTGGCATAGGACCGGTTATTGTCCACCCAAGCTTTGTGCAAACACCAACTGGAGTTCCCTTCGGGCCAATTCTTGTTTCGATTGGAAGAATGATATCCAGACAGTCACTGCCAATGAGCATTGAAACTTCATAACCATTTGCTTCAACAATATCCACGTCCTTTAGATGAGACCACTTGGATTTCAAATCTGTTAAATTGATACTTTTCTGCGGAACATTTAACGAGTCCACTACTAACGCGCTACTGACATCATAGCGTGGTGAAACTTTGTTGACTCGGCTGACTTGCATGTTTACTCGCTTGGAAATGAGTTCAGATTGTCCTTGAATCCCATTCAAGACTATTCGCTCCTGCAAGCCTTCAAGACTAAGCTTGTCTGCAGTACTTGCTAGAACCAGACTACAAGTACTATCATTATCTAACATTGCAATAGTGTACAAGCGACCGTGGCAGTGGGTTGGTGTGCTCAGATGCTGCGCTAACGTTTTCTTGTCTGGATTGACCACCATCAGGTCCCTTTGTTCTGTCATCTTGGGGTTTAGGCGGCTCTTTATGCAAGAACTTGTGATGATAGCGTGTTCAACCTTCTGAGGAGCATTGCTTGCGAGAGGTACATTCTTTTTACCAATGCTGCTTTCCCAAACAACAAAAGCAAAGTTTATGCCTTTTCACTTGCTTTACACGATCATCCACACTCAAGGCCAAAAATTTAAGACAACTGGTAAGGTCGTGTTGGATTCCATCCATCATGATACATGACAAGACTGATTCTTGGTTCTTACCATCACCTCGTCGCGGGGTTTTGGTTTTGCTAAACTTGTTATACCCTAAAGGTAACTTTGCATGGCATTCATTGTAAACTTCTGCCCGATCCTTTAGCCAACTAGCAAATTGGGTCAGGGTGGGATGTTGCAGGCTTTTAGATTTGACATGTTCCTTCCATTTTACAAACAGTTCCTTTGACAGTTTGTGGGTAGCAAGGAAAAGGTTGGACTGTGCAGATAAGTCATTATCATAACCAAGTCTTGTAAAAGTCCAAACTGTCGATGACACAAGGTCAGAATAACTACGAACACTCGGAGGGTTATCATCTTGTACTCGATTACAGGTTCTCAGCTTATCAAGGGTTGTTTTCACTATCAGAGAGGGTTTTCCAAATCTAGAATCAAGTTCTTCCAATGCTTTACCATATGATTCCCCAGCATACCCATAGCCTTCTATTGCAGTCTTTGCCTTCCCAGAGACTGAAATTTGGAGGTGATGCATTTTTGCATTTTGGGAAATACTTGAATCATGAATAATGGACTTAAACATAGAAGACCAATCTGGCCATCGAAGAGGATCACCATCAAAACTAGTCAGCTGTAGCTTAGGGAAATTACCACGAGTTGACTGGACTTTAACGGTAGGGGCATCGTTACCACTAACCATAGGATTACTCTGACTTACTTGTGCTATCCAAGAAGTATTTGGTGACTTTTCCATTGGACTGGAATGCTTTGCCAATCGCTCTTCACTCTTTGCAACTTCTTGCAAAACATCTTTATTTTCAAACTCACCAGCAAAATCATTTAGTCTATTCTCCAAACTCTCAGGATCTTTGGCATTTTCAAGAATCTCAGCTTCAGCATGCAAACGAATCGCCTCATTTCTTGCTTCTTGGACCTTTCGTCGTTCTTCTGCTTCTAGACGTGCTCTTTCAGCCATTTCCTTCGCCTTTGCTACCTTTTCATCGAGTTCCAGCTGCCTTTCCAATTCTTCCTTTCTTAATTTCTCTTCCTCTTCTAACTGTTTCGCTTTAAGTTCAGCTGCAGCAGCTTTAGCACGAGTTTCTGCTGCTTTTGAACTGGACGAGACACTGGAAGAATGCACTGATGGTAAACATACACTAGGAACATTTTTTGCTGCGGAAGTTCCAGCCACTGAAACTTCTTCGAGCTTTCGTTCATCTAAGTGATTTTCGGCCGTTAATTTTGCGTCTTCTACTCTCTCTAGTTGCTCCTCGTACCAAAAGAGTACAGATTCGTGTTCATTTTCTTGTACAAGCGTGAGAAGATGATCATTTAAAGCTTCAGCTTCCTTTAAATACACCATTAAATTGTTAACATATCCTTTTATCACGGTTTTTCCACAATTTTCTAACAAAAGTTTGTCTAACTTACTCAAGGTCGTTGTAATTCGTCGTTTCAGCACAGAACGTTTGCTTCTGATACCAGCAGTCTCCAAACTACCCTTAGTTTGGCCAATATGCTGCAACGATTGCTCAGAAACGCCTTCTTGCACCTCAGAAACACCATCTTGCACACCATCAATAGTGTTTAAATGTAGCCATCCTCGATAAGTACTGTAACTACTGTTTCAATCCGGTTACGAAAGACCATTTAATGTTCCCACCAATTACATTAAATGACATATTGCGGCAAACATTAAATTTTTTCATTTATTTCTCTTAAACAAAAATCGTTTCAATAACAGCAAAAGCTTCTAAAACGTACGACGAACGTTTTTTACATCCGGGAGAGTGAATACATAATTGTTTACTTAAGGTGTCCACGTGTAGTTCTAACAACCTTGATGAGGCAGCAATATCACCAGTGCGATAGCCGATAGGATTGTTTCGACTTCAATCCGATGTCCTGCGCGACTGGATGGAGGATCCTACCGAAAAACTGCAACAGGGGAAAAACAGTGCTTCACACCCTTAACACTATCACCAAAAAACTGAAAACACCGACGATATTTTGACCGAGTAAGAGCATTTCATTAAGTAGCTGGTACATCGCTATAGCAAAATGATTATTCTCATGTTGATAATGCATGTGTATCATTTTATGAATCAATATTGTGATCGGCTTCCTCTGTGTAAGCAACCGAGCAAGTTGAAAAATTAACTTGACCACGGTTGGAATTCAGCCTGCAACCTGATGCTTTGGGTCCGAGGCGCTAAATACTGCTTGTGCATGCATTGCAATAGGAAATGAACAATTTTTGCAACTCTGCGTTCAGGAGTTGTTGAGATGACGAAGTCTATATAATTCAACACCTCAATTACGTCACAGACCACGTACGCAACGTAATTGTCTAGTGTTTTACACAAATTAATTGCTTTTTTGGCTTGCGAATGTAGAAAAATTGAGCACGAACTTTTAGAGCGGGAATGCACAATGCACACAAGTGGAAAATTGTTTGCCAACTAGTTGTTGTTTCAAAAGAAGAAAAAACAGACGATGAAAAGACAAACAACACAGACCGAAATGGAGGCTCATGCATGTGAGTTTTAGTTTGCGTAGTGCGCACAATCAATGGTAAGGGGAGTACGAGTTTCCTCATTGAACTCGCGTCTTGTTATGTTGTAATATGTAAACGATTATTTAAACCCGAGTCAGGTTGATCCAATCAATGCTAATGAGTTTTCTTGTTCAATATTCTCTGCATATTTAGGAATGGGGGATGGGGATACTATTGTATCACTTCGCCGATTCATTCGCCGTAAAAGGCGACGAAAACGTAGCTATATACGAAATCTATGTTTTGAAATATAAAGAGGATCAACAACAACGAAATACCCAGATTAATGTCCATATTACCACGTGGAAGCCTTCAACGGAATAAAAACCGCACGTGAGAGGGGTGTTCGGTGTTGGTGGTTTAACTTCTGATTCAGTCATGAACTAAAACACCGCTGAACACCACTAAAATCATCACCCAAAATTTCACAACTCGGATGATATTGTGTCCGAAGGACCGTGATGACAACGAATTTAAACTTTACTCTTACAAAACGATAATCATACTTGCTACATTAGTGCGAAAATTACGAGGATTTTAAAAATTTTATAAAGAAAGTAAAGTTCAGTCCAGTGATTACTATATAATATGCCAGGTGCGCATTACGGTATATGGCGTCACAATGCATGAAACATTCTCCTACGTTTAACAGGCGATTGGGCTAAAATGTAAAATCATTGACATTGTTGATTAAACGCTGCAAATTATAGACTTAGAAGCAAGCTATATAGCTGAAAGTTTAAGGATGTTTCTCATATCTTATTGTTTTCTTGTTTGTATACGCGCGCGCGACGCTAGTTAAAACTTGGAAGCGCATGTAAGGCCGACGGGCGACAAATTGTATGCATATATGTATAACGAGTTAACCGATGTAATAAATAGTATAACAATATAACATACATGAATGCAAATAACTTAAAATGTTACAGCGCGTCTAAAATATACAAAATTTAAATTACTATTAAACTTATGGATCGGTGAAAATCGCGTCGCGTTATTGAATAGCGTCCGGTGTGTATGGATATGGCGAATTTTTTGCGACTAGCAGAAAATGCCGAACAAAATAAATTATTACAACGTTTGTCGATATACAGGTGAATATATATTTCTAATCTTAATTTTATATTTAGACATGTAGAAATGTAACATATCATACCGTTTAGCGGACTTAGTGTGATTTCGTTGTCACTGCTGCTAAGTCCAATTCCAACAGGCGAAGAATACAGGCTAGATAGCTGTGAGAGAACATGCAGGAGTCGTAAAATCCCCAGGAAAGCTCGTCACTAAATATCATCATAAAAATTGTGTAGATATAGACTATAGTTCATATACTATATTCAATTATACAGATTGCTTATTTTTGATCTCTTACCACTTTGCGGACTCCTCGTGTTCTCATGGTCACTGCTGTCTGCTGAAGCCAATACCGATAGGCGAACTGGCTTTTATGGACGCTATCACCTTGTATGACGCTAACACCTCGTTTGACGCTATCACCTTGTTTGACGCTATAAAACCTTGCCAAAATATACTCTATATTCCCTCTGCCAAATACACCAGCAGTTTTGTTCAGCAAGGTTTATTCAGCAGTCAACAAACAGTATTTTAAAAAATGCCTTCTTTCAAATGGTCAATTCGAGTAAATGAGGACAAAGCGTACGTTTTTGTCAACGGTATTCGGCATTCCAAAAATAATATAGAGTATTCGCATGTTCTGCGCGCTGAAGTGGGAAAAGTTAAGAATGGCGTAGCTGTAAAGGTATGATTTTTAATTGTTTGAGTTTCTTACTGTGATTAATATAAAGATAATATTATGTATTAAAGGGTAATATACCTGCTGAAATGATATGCTGCGTGCACCAGCGACCTTTCGAGTCCTAGTTTTATATGTTTGTTGTAAGGAATTGATAACCATATTGGCACCAGTTGAATAAAAATACAGTAAAGCGATTTTTAAAATACTCTTCCCCCACTCACTATAGTCCAGCGCCTAATCGCGCTTTATGGCGTGTCATTGCCTTGAAGTGCAATATCTGATATAGTTGAACTACAAGTAAAATCTCCTAGCGAGGTTTACTTAGCCCTCGCTTAGCGTTCACAAGTCATATACTAAATTAAAAACGCACGCCGTGACATAATCGTTGAAATTCAATTTTTATTATGAAGTATACACTCATCAATTAATATGACTAAAGCCAAGGTTTAGTAATAATGGACTGTTATAGTTTATAAAACTCCATAT